ATGTGATTCAATTAATTTCCTATAGTGAAGACAGTGGATCATTACGTTATCTGTATATATTAGAATACAATCTCCCCAAAAAAAGTTTTAAATTATTGTTACAGTGGATGAAGGGGCTGGGGGAGGGGTGTCTAAAGTCAAAGATGACTTTTGATTGGGCCAAATTTGACCCCGAGTGACCCCCAACAATTCTGCTGGTCTCCCCAGACCCGAACGCCAAATTATACACTTTATTTTTAGAGACCTTCAGACGTGGCTAAAATTGTCAAAATCAGTTTTGTAGTGTTCATACAGCCGTTGGAGGATACCATGAAGCCTTGTTCCGATACAAAAAACTAGAGCGTAGTTGTTATACATTTTAACTTGAAATGGGTCACGGGAGACCCGAACACAACATAAGGGTTCAACTGTCTTAAATAGAATAGAACAAACACGCGAGAGAATAAATACAATAGTTGAGTGTGATGTTGATAAAAAGCTGTGGCAAACAACAACATCTTAAACCCTAATTTGCAAAGCATTGGTGTGAGGCACTGTTTTATAAGAAAAGCATTCACTTTAGAATCATCAAGCATTCCTTACTTGCCACAAAGCATTGTATACAAGTAGATATCTTTTATTTGTGATAGCACTTTTGCAGTGTAAAGGTAATCCAGCATGAAGGAACGGAATAATTTCCGCTATAAATGCATCGCCGCATTCATTAACTTGAAATTAAAATTGGGCACATATTCTCCATGCTCAATGCGAGTCTCCAAACAGAAATAAGCTCCAGTGTTTCTGGGGACGCTGGGACACATCTGGTGCCGCTGTGTGCCGGGCGGGTATTTAGCAGATTGTACCAATGAAGAAATCTTTCGATTAGAACTAGGAAATTGCTTCTGTCAAGACCACTCAATGGGGCGAGATAGCTCTTGCTTGAAATGGGTCTCAATTTGAAAAAGAGGAGTAATCTAATGTGGCATCTTGATAGCATGTATCATGGAAAAGAAAAAGAGGAAATGTCTTGCTGCCAGAAGACTTAGTATGTCTTTGTGCCGAGTGCAGACGTTCTCCTAATGCGTTTAAATGTGTGGTCGAAGCCTTATGCAGTTTGTTCTGGATCACACTGAGCCAGACCGCCCGCTATCCACCGATAATTCTGATTTACTCAATAAAATCAAAGCCTGCTCAGCTGCACCATTTTAGGGAAAACTCATTATCACAGTGGAGCGGATTTGGCCTGCACAAGCTCCAATTAGGACCCCTAAATGTTTAATAAGCAACAATCAATGTGCAGAATGAAGTCTCCAACATGGGGCTTCAAACGGAGTCGAAGGAACTGTTACTCTCCGCGGGTTACCTTTACCTTGTGGAGGGAAAAAAAACCTTTTGTTTAGCACTCAGGCATTCCTTTGGTAACCATTTTAATGGCCAATGCCTTCTGGTCAAGAGGTGGGCGCTGAATGGACTAATTCTGCAGGATTAGTCCTCTGTGGTGGTGATCTAGCCAGCCAAACAAATGTGTCCTTCTGGTGGAGAATCTGTGCGTGCACGACTTTACATTGACTCCATAGGAGGGGGCAGCTCAGCCAAGGGATTAGTGGGAATTGACCATTCAGGCATAGACAGACGTTTTCAGGTTCTTTTTCTTGACTTTGAAAGACTTGTTTAACAACAATTACATCACAGGAGGAGGGGGAACCAGTGGCAACACGAGCGAAATACCAGCCAAATGAGAAGAGAGGAAATTCAAAGAAAGGTAAGCCTATAGGCAGGAGAGCTAAGCAAACTCATAACATCCACAGTTTGTGCTCCGGGGATGTGTTTTCTGTCTCCAGGGGCCTGAAAGAGAGTGCTGGGGGATAAAACCACAGAGAGGTGGACATGCTAGAGCTGGGATACACAAAACACAGGCTTCACATGTGTCAGGTGACCCTTTGTTCCCAACAGGGCTCAGTTCTGCAGGACTGCACAGCCAAATAAACAGAACATGTTCCAAAGGGAGGCCTGGTGCATGCGCTTAAGTAGCGACTGACAGATGATACTCCAGGAAAGATAATGCAGCTGCAGTGTCTGCTGCTACGTTTCACTGACTAACACAACATGATGGTGACTCATCCTGTGTGAAGGCCATGAAAGACTTTAGATTGTTTGTTTTAAACACCTTCTGGTGAATCTTTTTCTTGAAAAAATCCTCTCACAAACAATTAGACACACCACGGTTGAAAGATGACTGTGCCATGTGCAATATACACGTTTACACACTATTAATGTTGTCCCTTACTGCTAGCATATTACTGTGTATGTTGACTTAACACATGCTGCAGACATTTTGTTCCGTGTACTTCCTTTTAAAGGGGCCCTATTATCCTCATGTTCAGGTTCATATGTGTATGTTGTGTCTCTACTGACATGTATACTTTAATGTTCAAAAAGCTCTTTATTGCTCTCATACTACCTCTTTTCACCCTCTGTCTGAAACCAGAGCCCAGTCTGCTCTGATTGGTTAGCTGGCGGCTCTGTTGTGATTGGCCAACCGCTTAAAGACGTCCCGCCCCTTAGCGTATCACGTACAATGTGTTGGAGCGCTAGCCAATAGAAACGAGAGTGTTACATAGTGATGTCATTATGTTTGAAACACACTACAGGAAAGGGAAAAGCCCACATGGACCCTTTAATAATTTGAGCTTGCCTCGTCTTTATGTAATACGTTTCTCAACTTACTTTTGCCTTCTCTTCTCTGTAACATTGTACGTTTTCCCGCCGTGGGGGAAGAAAGGATTTCTGATTCTGAATCTGAAGTGGTGCCTTTAGTGAGTCATTGTGGATCTCTTGCAGTAACTAAAACGCTGGAGTGGAACAAATGGGGGCAGGGGTTGATGTGAATGATTGAGGGGAATGAAACTACATTGATTTTGACATCTACGCCTGGTGCATGAGTGCACATTGTATTTCCCTTCTGCAGGGTTCTGTACGACTGAACAGTGCATACCGTGAGTCCCCTGAGCAGCGTGCACGGGGAGACAGTGTTTAAACGTAAACAAACCAATCAATAAACACAGCGGGCCCCGAGGTGCTGCTGCTGAGCGACTAATAAACACAACAACAACGAGGCACAGAAAGTGGATCTCTGTCAGAATCTCAAAGATCATTAACAGAAGATTCACAGGAAGAGCTGCTCCGACTGTTTGATGGATACGTTCGCTCCAACACGACAGCACGACTTCACAGATATGAGGATGTCAAGAATTATTGTTGCAGAGGGAATATGATTTCACATCAGTGCTTACACTCAAAGATTTCGTTCTAAGACACACAGGAAATTGCTGAAGCGCTCAGACAGCATACCTCCACCAAGCATGGTGTGAATGTGTTATTTTAATATAAGAAAATGTCATCTCTAATTAGATTCAGGAGGGGATCAAAACACACACAGTGAGAGAAAAACCCACTCATGTTTGGTACTATGCTTTATAGGGTATACGAAAATAATCCACTCAAACAGACACGACTACAAGCAAGCAATTCCTGAAATAATGCTCAGAACATCAACAAACTCAACTGTTCTGTAATAATCTAAATATCCTACAGTATATGGTGGATACAAATGTATGTTAGAGTAAGAGAAAAGCAGTTTGTAACATGTACTATGGCTGGAAAGTGAGTGTAGCCCACTGGCAGATTTAGCTTTAATAAAATAGCCATATATCGCATCTGCACCTCATGGTCATAAAGAGATATGGGGAAAAACATAAAGCGGAGTCATCTTTGAACTGAGGCAATAATGTCTAAATGTCTGTCTTTCTCTGCTAGCAATGTTTTTCCTGCTGAAAAACGTTAAAAGATGACGTGTGATTATTGATGGTTCGACTAGACAGTGTCACATAATCAGAAACATAGAAACACATCTCTTCAGACACGTACGCTTGGCGAACTTCCCCTTAGTATTCTGTCTCTCATACTGTTGAGTCTGCCGTATCCACTACTGTTTTATATTTTAATGTTCTGAGTGTTTAAGTTATCACTTCCAGCGCTTTTTAGATGGACATGAGATAGGCATACAACTCTCAATCAGCACCAAATGTATATTCAATATTACAAGCTAAGAAACTACAAACAACAACGAACAATTATAACTTTGTTTAGGCATACGAAAAAAAAGCTTTTATGACAAAGATGAACTGCTGTTGCTGAGCAGATAATACAATTACATATATAATCTGTTAAAGGTGGGGTAGGTAATTCACTTCAGAAACACGTGTTATATTCCATGGAATGCTCTTAACATCCCGATAGCAATGAATACATTAAATGCTTTGACAAAAAATACATAATATAATTTCATCTGTGGAAGCCGTGGCGCTGTAAAAAGCACGACCAATCATCTGAATCGGCCCGGCTAAAGTAACTGGATGGCCTACCTGCCTGTCAGCCTTCCATCTGGGCACAAACTTATCTCGTGCCCTCATTGGTCATGTGCGCGTTCGTGTGTGTTGGAGGAGGGGCTCTGTGAGGAAGTCTGAAGGAAGGGGCAGATTTTTTCGGCTGCGTACTTTCAAATTCTAGCGCAGTCGAGCTGGTTTCTCCATTCGTACCTACCTTACCTTTAAGTGAAGGAATAGTTGAATAAATCCACAATCTGAAGACTGGTATTATTCTGTTCATAATTCTTTATAAAGCAGATATCCGTGCTCCAGATTTGAGTATGCACTATTAATTATTGCTGTCTGATAACATGGATGCCTTTGATTTAACATGAGTTCCTTCACTCTTCCTCCCCCGTCTCCCCCTCTCTCCTCAGGAACCACAGGGGCCGTTAGTATTATCGGCTTTATGACACGACTGCTAAAGATCACCGGGATCCCTCCGAGCCCCCATTCCTCAGGTTTAAGTCCTCCGACCATATTCTAATGCCCTCTCTATTAAAAAGCATTTATGACTGCGGTGACTGAAATGAACTTAACAAGTCTGTCATCGCTGCAGCTTTGTTAGCATCAGTTGAGCCAATCGAATGTGAAATGGCTCGCCGGGTGACGAAACCCCCGACAGTGATCTCTGAGGCGGAGGTATTTGGTCCGGGAAGACAGGTGGTTCCAGTGGAGAGGCAGGAGCTCGGTACAGAGCCTTTGAAAACCCCTCAACTGGAAAATGTGCCGCGTTTCAGACGACAAGAGGTCTACACTGCAAACTGAGTCATTTAGTCCACTGCAGGGTCTTAAAACCTAGTGTCGAGCTGATAAGCCTAACAGAGCTTTACAGTTAAAACAAAGAAGATCATTTCAAGAATTCAAACACAGGACTAAAGTGAGTGAAAAAGTACGAGTCATTGTGCCACATAAATATGTTATCTCCCCTTCTGATTTCATACGAGTTGAAGGTTGTTTTCCAATTCAATTGTAGGTCATATTTAGACAATGTCACCTTGAAGTAGGTTCCAATACACAGAGGCAAATTAAGTTATCCTAGAGTTAATGTTGTTTTTCTACATGAACAACATAATGAGAACTGTGGCTTTCTTTGGCCCTGCAGCAACAAATTGCTGCAGTTAATTTTCAACAGATGAAATGTATTTTAATACGTTTGCAAATTGAAAGAAAATGCAAAATATGCAGGTGCATCCTTTAACATGGGATATGAATCAAAACTCCGGTTTAGTTTCTTAACTCTGACCGTAAAAATACAGATAGGCTTCACATATTTCTCTTTTTTATTTATACAGTAGGCTATGTGACATGTGATTTTTTTTTGTTGAGAAAAAACCCTGCCTCTCCGCTGAGTGAAGGGTCCAGTTATCTGACATTCACTCCCTCATGACAGCTGACAGGTGAGAGGAGGATGTGTGAGGGCGAGATATCTTCCTGAGGAAATGCCAGAGAAACCGACCTGTGAGTTTTTCACTAGGATCAGTGAACACGTTATTATACACATTACACATTACACACACAAACACACACACACACACACACACACACACACACACACACACACACACACACACACACACACACACACACACACACACGCCATGTATCACTTCAGGGGACATTACATTGACTGACATGCATTTCCTGGAGACTTATCCTAACCTTAACCATAACCATAACCAACACATGCCTAACCCTAACCCTAACCCTTAACCACCCTAACCCTAATCCTGAACCTAACCAAGTCTTTACCCTAAAATTAATGATTCCCCTCATGGGGACCTCCAATTTGTCCCCATAAGGGAGGCGAGTCCCCACACGTGACTGTGTAAACAGATGTAGGTCCCCACAAGTATAGTAATGCTAGGCCACACACACACACACACCCACACACCCACACGAGTAGGCTACTAACCCATAGATATGTGTTCATAACACACACTCACACGATACGCTCTCACATACACAAATCAATATTCTGGCTTGCGAGTGCACAAATGATGTGGTGGCCGTTAATGAGCAAGGGGCCACGCTCATTAAGGCAGCTAATGACGCCAATCATGGCAATATCGCACTGATAGTCCTCGTAACAAGCCATCATGTCACTGAATGCGTCATCAATTAACTGGGATGGTTTTTTACATGGGGAGCTATTCCTGATTCAAGCCAAATAAACCAATCACAAGCAAGAGCAAATAAAAACACCATGTGCGACCCATTAATGTTATTCGATTCTAATTCCATGTACTTTGAAGCATATTTAAGATAATCAATTACATTTATTTTAGTGTGTGTAGTGGAGGAAAAACCTTGTGAATGCAATTTTAAAAGTTGTTTTAAACCAAACACATTCACTGTACTTTTCAAGTTTCATTAAAAGGAGGATACAAACCCTCAACTCATATTTTAAACATGAAGGACATCTCATAAAGATTTGTAGTCTCATGAAACATTTCTGTGTGATGCATCAAATTAAATGTTCACAAAAAATCCTTCAATACTCCAAAATAAGACGTCTGCTTACTTGCAGTTTGAAGCTTTCACTTGAACTTAATCAACCACCAGTATCAAGCAGAGTTAGCTAAGAAACAACAGCTTATTATTACCAGTTCCACCAAAAGTACAATCATGTAAAAGGCCAAATAATTACAATTTTGAACAGCAAATGCTCTCAATGTCCTGTAAACAACGTCTAAACCAGGGGTGTCAAACTCAATTTCATTGCGGGCCGCATTAGCATTATGGTTGCACTCAAAGGGCCGGTTGTAACTTTTAAGACTATATAAATATACTACATATATAAATATATTATATAAAATAATGTATTATATATTATTGCCTCTGAATTGGATTATTATCGGATAAGGTAATAACTTCATAATTAACTACGTCTGAAAGCAGAAGTCCAGGGCAAATAATTGCAAGTCTCTTCAGTGTGCATGTCACAAAACGAGATGCATTGTGGGACATGTCGTTTATTCTGTAAATCGGCATGTAACCGTATAATAAACGTATTATATTCTTTGCAAGCTCTTGCGGGCCACATAAAATGAAGTTGCGGGCCGGATTTGGCCCCCGGGCCTTGAGTTTGACACCCCTGTTCTAAACCCTTCATTCTAAATCCAAGGTATTATTCCGCCCCTTAACAGCATCAGCTCTTGTGATGTCCATCAGATGTTGGGAGCTAGCTGCAGGGATGTGCTCACCTTCAGCCAAAACAGTATCAGCGAGGTCCAACTCTGATGGACGATAAAGCCTGTCTCACAACCAGAGTTCATTCATGAATTTTTGATTGAGTTTAGTTCAGTGCTTTGTGAAGGCCAGTGGCGTTGGAAGCAAACTACTGCCTGAAATATCGATGTTTACTGGGGAATGAAAACATCCCTGCATTTGAACTAAGAAGCCCAAACGATGCTTGTGTTGTGTTCGAAAGCTGTTACGGTTCATGGTGTTCACGGGTACATTTTGACCCATGATTTATTTCAGTCCAAAACACTCCAAAATAATGACTATCATCCAATATTGTTTCAACTACATCATAACTAACTTATTATACATTCATAACCGTACAATCCTGTGGTAATTTCATTTTATGGCCTGAAAACACATATTTAAGTATATTTAAGTAAAGCATGTGATTCAATTCACTCATTATATTTCCTATAGTGAAGACAGTGGATCATTACGTTATCTGACTATATTAGAATATTAGAATACAATCTCCAGAAAAAAAGTTTTAAATAATTGTTACAGTGGATGAAGGGGGTGGGGCTGGGATGTCTAAAGTCAAAGATGACCCCCAACAATTCTGCTGGGTCTCCCCAAACCCGAATACCAAATGATACACTTTTTTTTAGAGACTTTCAGACATGGCAAAAATGGTCAAAATCAGTTTTGTAGTGTTTATGTTGTGGAGGATATCATGACGCCTTGTTCCAATAAAAAAAACTAGAGCGTAGTTATTATATCATTTTAACTTGAAACAGGTCACGGGAGATCCGAACACAACATAAGGGTTCAAAGGTTCAGTTGTACTGTATTATGATGAGAGGACATTCATTTGACTATAACTAAAAATATAGAGAAAGAGAAATATGAATAATATACATTTGTTGGCGGGAAGAAACATAAATATTAATCAGAAAAGTCTTATTAAAACTTATTTGAATTGCTGGCTTTGGTTTCCAGCTCAGTGGCAGCCTTTAATATCGTTTACCATCCTCCAGCTGATTGAAAATCTGGGATCTGGTTTCCCCTTCTATATCTAAATATTAATAGTCTCCATTACACGAAAATTACTTTCATCTCCGACTCACATGGAGGGATTAGATTTTAATCAAGGGATTAAATATGTCTTTCTATTCCTGCAGATGGGAGAGATGGCAGGCAGTCAATTAGATCCTTTCTGTTTGTAGCCTCACTCTGAAACCTGATACACTCTTTGTTATCACACAAGCTGCACGAGCATAAACAAGAAGACAAAGAGAAATCTGCCAACATAACGATGCGCTTCTGTCAAGGGTCAATGCATCAATATAATACAAAAAAGAAAATAGAAAAACAAAGACCATTTTGAACATCAAAGCCTGTCCCAGTAGAGGCAAAAAATACAAATAACAAACCTAAATATTAGCATTATAAGGACACTTGCAGCAGCCATTAAAACTACAACAGACAGTATATAGATGGATAAATACGTTAAATATAATATGTAATCAAAACAGCACAATAAAACAATTAGTGCAATTCTAATTGAAAGCATTGCCTATATACAAATACATTAAAATATCAAATATGATGTATTTTGTTTTTCTCTGTTACAGTAGATGCAGTTTAAGCCTTTCTTAAATAATGTTTTAATTGTCTGTATTGCAACTGACTTGGTGTTGCTTTAAGATGATATTTTCTGCTCACTATCTTACATCATGTTAATATTACATCAAGTTAAATCAAGAGAGTATATTATTCAAGAGATTAAAGATCCTGATCCTCAATAACATGTTATTTCAAAATTGTATATTTTACAGGCCTTAACATAAAGCTTCAAATCATTCTGGGTATTTTATTAGAAAGTAAAAATACTGCAGTGCAGGTTTGGGCTGTAATAATGGTAAATGAAGTGTTAAATCTAAAGTATAGCAGTCCATTACTCTGCAGCTAATCCTGGCAGAATGTGTTGATCCACTCCAACCTGCAGACAGACTCCAGGTGAGATCAAAACACTCTGATTAGCTGAATGACTCGCAGCAGGGTGCTCTCCTCTCTCAGGGGTATAAAAGCCAAACCAAAGTGATGTGTCACATGTTGTTTGATGCTCTGAACTTCAACATGGCTCAGGTAGTTGTGTTTGCCGTCCTGCTCATGTCTCTCGTTGTTTCAGCAAATCATTTTCTTACAGAGACACCAAGTTGTTACCAGCCGGAGCCGAGGAAACCTGACTTTGGGGTGAAGTAAGTAGCCTTTTTAGCTTCCTGTTGTTTCTCATGTTATGTCTTTCTGTTGGGGTCAAAGGAACTCTTAATGTAAGTACTGAAAATAATTTGTATTTTAAAGGAATTTGGATAGTTTTATATAAACATTTAGCTGTTTCCAAGTTATATTTTACCAAATACTTGTCCAGAATGACCTTATGCTGTGTTTGCCCTCAATGGCACTTCACATGTTGTAAACTGTAGTTCATTTTAGGTGACAGATGGTTTGAGTTAAACGTTTGCCAGGTTCTGGGAAGGTATGCTGGGGGAAAGTTTAACTCTACACAAATAATCGTGTACTTAATAAAAAAAGGAATACAGTCCTCGGCGTTCCAACTGTGTGGTTTGCCTGCCTTGTCATTTTCTCTGACTTGATTTAATACCATTCGTGAGTTTGGCTAGCTGGGCTTCATTTAAAAAAAAGGTTGAAACATCCGAACTTGTCCATTCCTCTGGCTGTGCTTTTTGCCTCTGACTCACCACAATCTCTGACCACTAAAACCGCAGCTCTTAAATATTTCTGCCTGTTATCTCGTCTCCCACAGAACTGCTGCTCGTGCAAGTGAACTCCTGAACCTCGCTCAGCTGCCCAAGTCCTGAGATTGGAGGAACGTAAATGGCGCTAACTACGTCTCCTCTCTTTCAGCTTGTTAAAGCCAGATTGGAAACTCTTTCTGAATTTCCTTCTGATGGTCTTTAATGGCAAAGAATAGGCAAGTTGTAACTTTTAAAAACTAAAACCACTTCTATCAACGCAACTGTTACTCTGGAATGTCTACGAATTGTACTTTTAACACTTAAAGGTGGGGTAGGCGTGTGGTGTAGTGGGTTGTCCGTAGGTGTTCAGATCAGGGGGTTACAGGTTCAAACCCCACTGCAGTCAGCATGTCGTTGTGTCCCTGAGACACTTCACCCCAAATTGCTCCTGTGGTGATTGTCCACAGTATGTAAGTCGCTTTGGATAAAAGCGTCTAACAAGTAATGTACGTAATTCACTTCAGAAACACTTTTTGTTATATTCCATGGAATGCTCTTAACATCCCGATAGCAATGAATATATTAAATGCTTTGACAATAAATACATTAAAAAAACGTCATCTGTGGAAGCCGTGGCGCTGTAAAAAGCACGACCAATCATCTGAGCCGGGCCGGCTAAAGTAACTGGATGGCCTACCTGCCTGTCAGCCTTCCACCTGTGCACAAACTGATCTCGTGCCCTCATTGGTCATGTGCGCGTTCGTGTGTGTTGGAGGAGGGGCTCTGTGAGGAAGTCTGAAGGAAGGGGCAGATTTTTTCCGGTTGTGTACTTTCAAATTCTAGCGCACTCGAGCTGGTTTCTCCATTCTTACCTACCCTACCTTAAGTGATACCATTTTTAAGTATATGGTCTCAAAACTTTTTTTTTTTGTCTTGGAGTATCCAAAAGTTTTTTGTTTTTTTGGTTAAACATTGTTTTTACAAATTAAGCACTATAGATAACTTACAATTTCAAAAAAGACTTCGACAAAGTTTAAGGTTAAAGAAATGGTTGCACATTTGGGAAATTGTCAACGGATTAGACCAATAACCCTAAAAATGCATGTATGGTGTGTTTTCCTGGTTCTTCTACATGTATATTGCACACTGAGAGCTATCAAGCATTCATTGCAAATAAACATGAACTCTGTTTAAACATGCATGTAAATATGGCTAAGGCTACCACAAGCCTGGACCTGACCATGCTCTAGTCTTTAAGTGAACACTGTTCTATGATAAACATTATTTTCTCCGCTTGTGTAGATCGCATCAACATTAAGAGGCGAGGTGCTTGGCCGTCGGCTTATCTGTCCGTCCAACACGTGATGAACTGCACTGACGCTGGCACCTGTCATGGAGGAGACCATGGAGGGGTGTGGGAGTACGCCCACAAACACGGGATCCCCGACGAGACCTGCAACACCTACCAGGCGATTGACCAGAGTAAGAACTCCAACAAATTAGTGCAGTTGGTATGAATGTTTCCAGTTCCTCAAAGCCTTTTAAGACTTGCATTTTTTTTCAGAATGCAAGCCCTTCAATGAATGTGGGACTTGCAAAACTTTCGGGGAGTGCAACATTGTGCAGAACTACACTCTGTGGAAAGTAGGCGACTTTGGAGCAGTCAGTGGGCGCAAGGACATGATGGCAGAAATCTACTCTGCAGGACCCATCAGGTTGAGCAAAACATCTTTTAGAAACTGGTTTGCAGATAATTGTATGAATGCTGCATTTGAAGTGTTCAACGTTTTAGGAAAGCCTTCACTTCAAAAACCCTACTACAGTGTAGTTATGGCTGTACATGCCAAATTACTTTCCTAAAATCTGATAATGTGAATCTGTCTTCTCTCAGCTGTGGAATGATGGCCACGGAGAAACTGGACTTGTACACCGGGGGTCCGTACACCGAGTATATTGAGACGACATCCATCAACCACATTGTGTCAGTGGCAGGCTGGACGGTAGAAAACGGCACTGAGTACTGGATTGTCCACAACTCCTGGGGCGAGCCATGGGTGAGATATAACATTTAAAGGGCTTCAGTTACTTTTGTAAATTGATATGCATGTGATGCACTTCATTTAATATCCAAATAAATATGAGATTTCTCTCTTTAGGGTGCGAAAGGCTGGCTCAAGATTGTGACCAGTAACCCTTAAAATGCATGTATGATCCCTCCTCTGTTGCTCTCCCTGAGGTTTCTCCCATGTTCCCTTTAAACTGTGGGTTTTCTCCGGAAGTGTTTCCTTGTACGATGTGAGGGTCTAAGGACAGAGGGTGTCGTATTGTCATACTGATATTCTGTACACACTGTGAAGACCACTGAGACAAATGTAACATTTGTGATATTGGGCTATATAAATAAACATTGATTGATTGACCAGTGCCTACAAAGGAGGGAGTGGAAGCAAGCACAACTTGGCTTTGGAAGAAGACTGCATGTATGGAGACATGATTGTACCCTCAAGCTACCAAGAAAGCCAAGGACACTAATGCAACGTAATCCTCATTACAGTAACCCTGTGTATTGGCTTTGTCTGTGGGTCAATTAGTTGACTGGAATTGTGATTTGTTCAAGCCGGTGAAATAAAATATTGTACTCTTACTTTATCCATTACATTTGTGCTTTTTCTGATGTGGAAGAACAGGAGGCTTTATTTCCCTCTGGTAGAGTTAAGTTGAAAATGCAAAAGCCTTTGGCATGGCTCACTTGTCGTTGAGGCTCTTATATTTTTACTGCATTTTAAACCATGTCCAAGGAATCTTAATACCACAGCAACTTATTGGGAGTTCGTCTAAAACGGTTCCTTGGCTTTAGATGCACAACTCTTCAAAATTGGGGACGGTGGTGGCGAAGTCGATAGGGACTTGGCTTGGCAACTGGAAGGTCACCAGTTCAAGTCCCAAGTGCTACCGAGGTGTCCCTGAGCAAGACACCGTTCCCCACACGGCTCCCCGGGCGCCGTTCAAAATGGCAGCACACTGCTCCTAACACTAGGATGGGTCAAATGCAGAGAATCAATTTCCCCACGAGGGATTAATAAAAACCCATCTTAATCTTAAAATTCATAGGCAGACATCTGAAGCATGGCTCACTTATTCATAATGCCACTCAGTGTTTCACTTGACCATTGACTCTGAACTTGGAAACCTTTTCAGGTGAAGCCCCAAGCTGAAGGAAACTATTTTCAAAAGATGTAGCCTTAACAAAAAATGTAGTCTCTGCTCAAAACTAGAATAAATATGGTGTTACATTTTTGAAAAAATTACTGACAAATGGGGTATCAGAGATAAGGGGGTGGGCTCATGACTGCCTACATTTTGGGTTGAACAATTCCTGAAGGATTGCTACACCTGAGATCACATGCCCCACTAACCTAGATATTTAACATTACCGTATATGCACAATGAAAGGCACTCCATTTTTGGTATTAAAAAGTTGGGAAATTAATTTCTCTCCGGGGGAAACATTTACAAATGTGTTCAGGGGGACATTTCAGTACTGATTCAGAAATTGTATTCGTGATTGATGCAAATCATGTAGCCTCATTTGCTTTTTCCTCTATGTGCATGTGGACGGATACAAGGTCAGGTTGTGGGGTGTGTAAATACAAAACTGTCGAGGCTTTAGAGCCCAACACTGACAGCTATTGAGACTTAATGACATACAACAACCCTCCTGTTACCTTGAGACAAATGAAAGCCAAATTACATTTGTTTGTTCTACATCTCTGAGCTTGATAAACAGACACCTCATATTGACTGACATGCTTTATTAGTTTCAATTCTTTCATGCTACTGGAGTTGCATTCAGTGTAATCACCAGTTATCTACAGTGGCACACGTAACGGTACAATGGCATCCTCCGAGTTTCTGTGCAATTACAAAGAGCCCATTTTCTTGCTGTTCATCTGGGGAACAAAAGAAAACTGAGCACTTAGATATGTGGTTCAGGGGACACAACAATAATAAAAATGCATAAACACAAGCTGCTGTGCTCGGCTGCTGATATGGAAATGTTTCCCATTAACTGCACTTCCCATTCAGCAATCTCCAGGGAGAACAAAGGATAATCAAACCTTATGCAGCGCTGTTAACTTGAAGCCTCCAAACCTTAAGCTGTGGCGTGTCCAAGCAGAGGCCCACTGTGAAAACAAATATTGAACATCCTTTGGTTGCTCAAAAATACGCGATCAAGCACCCACCCTCGAGCAATTCTTTTTCACGTGGAATCAAATTTGCGCTCTGATTAAATTTCCTGCATGTTTTCTCATTTGCATAATCACAAACACAGCTCTAATGGATGTGAATGAAAACACATGGTAATCTTTGGGACTCAAAAAGAACGAGCCGTCTTTCTGCCGTGATCGGGGAAAGAAAGTAGGTATGGATAATACGTGTTGCGAAATGCACGGGAGCCAGCATTCATCTTCATTAGAGCAATCGATACGGCAACATTGATATTTCGGTGATCTCTGCAAACCCATTATGTATTGTTTCGTGATCAATATGTCGCTCTGTAAACATGTAGGAGGGGGTGGGTGTAATATGAAAATAGTATTATGATCCTTTGGTGGGGCAGGGGTCTGGATTATGAGCTTAAATAGAGTTGGAGGGAATATCCACTTCAGTAATATCTTTGAGAAAGGCATTGTAATGATTTATCCATGGCAGCAGTGTATGCAGAAAGTGTGCTTTGTGTAAACCTTCCTAATGTTTTCACCTCTCCACGGCCACTGCTGAAATGTGCCTCATGAAATAAGCAACAGATTGAAGGCAGCCACAAACACATTCTGGTATTTCTCAGAGAAATGTGTTCTCCAATTCTGCCTAAGAGGTAACAGACACAATGTCTTATGGTAGTGATTCAAAACATGCCCAAATGATGCATTTCAATTATTACTATCAGTATGAGCAGATGCAATAGGGTTGGAAGAAAAAGGCATCGGATTTCTTCATGCATTTTACACCATCATCAATCTTTCATTTATCTTGTCAAATATGGAGTGAGTTTCACCCCAAATGCATCACATTGCGTTCTGTTTGCCAGGATCATAGCGCAGATGTATTTCTGATCGTAATCATAATGTATGAAGCAGATTAGCTCGACGGGATGGTGTAAACCACACATTACCATACCCCTAACTTCAGCAAAAGGCATGCCTGAGCTGATTTGCATTGCATAATACATCTTGCACACAAACATTGTAAATGGTAGTCTCACATTGCTAATGAGCCCACGCTGGAAATGTGATGTGGTGATTAAAAACAAAGTGACTTCCTCAGCCAGCCACCATTTTCCTGATCCGTGTTTTTCTCGCTGTAAAAAAACAAACACTTACACAACAATCACTTAGTCCGTGTGATTCCCAAATCGATTTACAGGCCAGAGCTCCCCCGCTGATGTTATGCATCATTCCCCTGCTAATCTCACTTCCTTGTCCAATATACTCACACAACCTCGAGGCGACCGCAGAATTAGCTTTAGTTAATGGATGAGTATTAATCCCTCTTAGTCACAACAAAATTAAGAAATAATATGGCCATGAATATTTCAGTTGCTCTGCAGCAACACAGGAATCTGCTCGCACAATCTGCCCTGGCTTGCAAAAAAAGAATTGGCGATTACATGTACATTATTAATGCCTCATCGTCAAATTCATATTTTGCACCAGCTCTGGAGTGGAAATCCAATGAGCAGCCAATACTATTTCAAACTAACTTGCTGAACCTACAGAATGGCCTCTGAAACTCATCGGACGTGCTTCTGTTTTGCCTTTATCACTCTGTCTCCTAAAGGTAGCACAATCTTATTAGATCCCTTAAAAATAGATGTGAAGCTTTTCAAGTCAGTGAGTTCTTGCAGCCTCCCCCTGGAAGTTTTAATTAGAACACCAGTCAGTCGTGTTATCATTGTTTCAAGAAGGCTGCTTCCACATTCCTGAGCTGCCCACTTCATCACAGGATCAGAGGAGAGAGAGCGCACTGTTTACTGCCTCATATTCCCCCCGACAACCACAATCTGGATCACTTCTAGCACTGAAGGAGAGTCTATGTGCTGCAAGTTGATTGAGAGGATACTTGTGAGGATATATTGCAAATGTAAAGACTAAGAGATTCTCTTTTTGATGTAAACAAAGTGGCAGTTTTACAGATGTATAGAAACAGACATGATGAGGTCTACTGCTCTTTATAGAAACACACCATATCAAACATATCGGAGATACTGTGAATGTGATGTTGTTGATGTTTCAGGTTGATTACATCACAACTCACTCGCTTCAATTGAGGCTACATCTAAAGGCAACATGTTCCACTTGATTTTGATATGCTTTATTAATCGCCGTGGGGAAATTGTTTCTCTGCATTTGACCCATCCTAGTGTTAGGAGCAGTGTGCTGCCATTTTGAACAGCGCCCGGGGAGCAGTGTAGGGAACGGTGCCTTGCTCAGGGACACCTCAGTAGCACTTGGTCTTTCGGGGACTTGAACTGGTGACCTTCCAGTTACCAAGCCAAGTCCCTATCGACTTCGCCACCACCGCCCCACTTTGTCTAAGTAACCTTCAGTACAACGTTTTTCTTTATATCTCTCGCAAACCCCAACAGATGTGTCTTTTTACAGGAGAGGCAAACATCAAGATGTGGCGTTTAGACATTGAAACAACTTAAATGGTTTCTTGGGTAGGAACCTGTCTCTTAATTAAAGATCACTTTATTGTATAGCTTTTCTTACAATAGTGAAGAAATATTAGAATAGACTAAGAATGTGGTAATTCCATATCATGTGTGATGACATAACGTTATAGTAAGTGTTGTTTCTTTATTATATCATTTAATTGTAGGTTGACATAATAGTAAGAACTAATATAAAACCATCAAATGTATTTGTTAAGCAAAATGCTCATTTTAGATTAATTTATATCAAATCACTGGATAATGATTGTTTGCATTATGTTTATCACAGTTGTCTAAGCTGCTGGTGCCAACAAAAAGAATAATGGCTGCATAGCACTAAAAGTAAGCAAGAGATTGTTTTGCAATGTGGGTGAACTGACCCTTTAACAACACTTTATGGACACATGTATGCTGGTGTTTTTTATGTAGTCCCACATTTGTACACAGACATGTATTGTATATTATTTGGCTTATGAGTACTTGATTGTTCTGTGCAGTTGCTGTGAACTCCTCTCTGTAAATGACCAGTGTTGCTTCAGTGAAATCACAATATACTGTAATGACATCTGACTGTTATGAGGACATCATGGCTGACTTCATCTTCCAGCCTTCACTACTGTAGGTTTCGTTTGCCACTCTCATTCAGGAGGAAATAAGGAAGGGAGGGGTCTTTGGTGTTTATGGACTGACCTGTAACTGCACTCTGCTGCCCCCTATCGAAGAGCAGCTCTGCATGTTGTGTTTACATCAGGACTGAGAGGACTGATGTGTTGTTTTGTCTGGATTTTATGAGGTTTTTAATGTCAGGACTCACAGC